TATCTTAATGTGGGTTTCGTTAGAAGTGTTTCCACAACAAAATTGGTGGTCAAACCCAGAACATACAGCTCTCGTACTGAATATTTAACTTTTAAACTGATGAATTCGTATCCAGTAGTTCAGTTGTTTTTGGTGAATAATTATCTTTTCAATAGTTGAGATCATGAGTCAATTGAAGCTAGATCACTATAAAAAACTTGGAAGCATTGAATGGCCGTTTCATCCTATTGTGGGACTCCTCAACAGTGTGCATCCATGATCCCGCCTCGCAGGACTCGAGCTCAGGACCTATCAGTCTCGCACGTGAGCGCTTAACCACTAGACCACTGAGCTGACCGACATCCAACAGTGTTAATGTCTAACTCCAAATAATCCACAAAATTGAGCGACACATTATCATCAGTGAGTTACTATCTCACAACTAACCTGGTTGAACTCCACTCATCACTGCTTCTCATTAGAACTCCAGGATATACATCTTGAAGCCAGTCACTAGTGAGCATATGTTATCATACTAGAATCAGTCCTTTTTAATAATCCTCCCCTAAAGCAAAATCATTTTTGTAATCAATTTATTTGACAATTTTTTTAGTCTACTCTAAATGATCTTACACATAGTCACACCCAAATTCACAACACTGATCAATTTTCAAAGTGTTATGTACAAATAAGCAACTGAAATTCTTTTTGATTAATTTTAAAAAGTCCAATATTATGTCAGTCACATACATATGTAAGTAGATTGAGAAAAAAAAAGTAGTGTTTATTCAATTTTTTTTTTTTAGAGAAAATTGTTGTTGCTAGACAACAATTATTTATTTATTTAAGCCTATAAATATTGGTACAAAGGGGCATCGAATATCTATGCATCATACAAGTCACTTGATTTATGTGTGAGCTATGATACAACCTGGGTGCCCAAATTGAAGTAGACCGAAAAAGACAAAAGTTACAATGGTGATTTAAGTTCTAGGACAAATTAAAGATATTGAATATTATAAGCTGATGGATGGATGAAAACGTTATTAGTAAACAATTAAGTAGTAGAAATTTATAGACAATTTCAGAAACGGAACACTGTTAAACCTTGGAACTTACTGATGGTTAGTGTGGTATACGACTTTATGTTAGGATGTACAGAAAAATATACCAATAGTTATCATGTTAAGTCGAATGTTGTCCTTGGACGTTAAATGTACATTCCCTATTGGTCGATATTTGCTTCACTTGTTTAATATTGTGTAAATGTTGTTTTCTATTTTTATGGTACGATGTGGTCTGCTTGGTTAGTATATAAAGAGAGTGTGTTTGAAATAGTATGATTCATATCTCAGAGGCTGTGACTTGCGTTCTGGACTCAACTGGCTGGGATAGACAGAGAAGCAGGGCCAATCGGGACTCTAGGTCGTTCATTACGTGTCACTGAATCGATCGATATAAATGCTGCTTATCAAAACCTGCAGTCACCCGTTTCAACACTTTGGTACTCGATTGTGTAGGTCTTCCACGTCGCAATTCGAAAAGGCAGAAGAAAACAGGAAAAGGGTTTGTTAAAGCAAGTGTGAAAAATGTACAGTGAAACAAGTGTGTTTATAGTTTTTGATATAGACTGTGACATCAACATAATCCAGCCAATATACAAGCAGAAATTTTGTATAACTGTTCAATTACAACATGCCGCTTCAATATTTTAGAAAATTCTGTCGGAATGTTATTGACTGGAATCAATTTGAATCTTTTAGAGTCTGAAAAGGCCTCATCATGCCTCCTGGAAACCGTCCTAACATCTCCCAAAAATGGAGTTTCCGGAATATGATTTCCTGTCCAAGTCCAGTTGTAACCTCGTCACTATGTTCCGTTTAAAGTTCACATCCCGTGATGGCTTAGTTCTTTTGTTTCCTTGATCATTAGAGCTCCTTTGAAAAGTCCACGATTATGTCAAGTGGAAATCCGTCTTGTATGATTACTGTCCTCATCCCTGCGCATCTGATTTGCATGTATTATATGTGTGGCATCAATTCTCCGAACTACGTATATTACCTTGTCGATTTTTCGTTCAACTATATAAGCTTTCCATTTGTTGTTGCCTTGATGATTTAAATAATACTTCTACCAGAAAGCTGCGAGTAGGCTCGTTTCAGTTCAGTCTATTCGTCTGAGTGGCAGTGTACTGTTGAAGATAACTCGAAGTTTTCTTTCGAATATACACGCAGCTAAGGACTTCTAGCATAAAAGGATTACGAGTAGCTTGATGGAACATTAAATAATTATTTGTTAACTGTATCGGTGTTCCATCTCTTTCTCGCTTGATCAATACCTTTTTTGTAATAGAAAAATCTAACTGTAACTTAAGAATTCGTGTCGAATTTGATATTTTCAATTGACCTACATCATCGTATATTGGAACAGCATACTTATTCATTGTTTGAATGAAGAAAATGTGCAAACAACATGAAAAGACAATACATTATGTTATCGATGAGATAACGTATATCCATGATATAATATGATGGTTGGAAGTAAGTTAGGGGCAACCAAACCGAAATGTGGCATCAGTCCTTGAAGTCACTAACTTCTAGTCTTAGCCATGTTGGTAGATGTAGACTACTTGGTTGGGATGCGCGCGACTATCATAATCAGTGGTTGGAGACTGGGTGACATAGCTCAGAATCAATTACAATGGCGCAGGTGTATACAATATTTGTCTTCCTTTAAACCATGTGATTAAAATCGCTTGATATCTTTCTTTCTGTACTATATCCTTACATAAAATCTTTACTTTATATATTATACCATTGATTTAACTGCTTCTATGAGTTCATTGTTCGTCTTGCTGTGGTAATAAGGTGCGGCAATTTAGACAGATGCATATATATATATGCCTGGTTCTACGTTGTAACTGACTGACTGATATGATGCATTCAAGATTTTGTACATGTGATTACTCATATTGGGATGCGTGCTACTTATATCTATGTAAGTAGTATAGGACGCGAGTTAAAAACGCAATATCTGGCAACAGAACGTGTGGGAAGATCAAGAGAGGAAGAGCGGGAACGCAATGCAATTTGTAAGAAAACGCATAAACAATGAAATGTGAGACAATCGATTGGTGATTGCAACAGCAACAGTCCAGTTTGATATGACGGAATGATATTTTGCAAATTAACGATTTACTATTTTGTTTTTCTATATTACCGAGTAACTCTGTAATTTGTGTCCATAATACATTCGATTGTCCCCATCAGTGTTCTGTTTACTACAATATTACTATGAGAATATTTCATTCTAGTTCATAGGAAAGATATCAATGTTTCAAAACTCTCTAGATTAACTTGATGTGTGAAACCCTAACTATATATTCTGTATATGTGATCTAAGTATTTTTGATCATTATGATAAGATTTTATTAAACAAGACTTGTTTATGGGGAAAATATTGTCAAAATCTAATAAGTAATACAAATTTATCTTAAGTATTCTATTCAAAAACATCATTTATTTACTCTATTACATAATCAATAGTTTACACATCTTGATTTTTATCAGAATGGATTTTGTGGAGATTTTAGAAATTTCACAGATTGAAATCATGAGTCAGTTGAAGCTAGACCACCATTGGAAACCTGGAAGCACTGGACGGCCGTTTCATCCTAGTATGGTACTTTCCCAGCAGTGCGCATCCACGACCCCGCGGGCCTCGAACCCAGGACATACTGGCTTCGCGCGCGAGCACTTAACTACATAACCACATCTTGATTTATTGTATCTGATAAATTGGAATTCTGTTAATGTCTTGAAGTGATCACAAAAGTTGTGAAACTCGAGTAAATGGTTACTCAGGGGTATAAAAAGAATTTAAAGAATTATTTGAGCTATTTATCAACTGATACAACACATATCTCAATGCATTTATTAGTGTAGTTTAGATATGTTAACTAAATGCTGCAAATACATGGAAGCCAATAAGTGGTTGTTTGTGATGGAACTATCGAGTTTAGAATTTTTTACACATACAACAATTGATGAGGTTAGAATGTATTCCGCGACCATCTACTTTAATGCGCTATTCAAATTGAAATACAAGTATAGTATAAGGTAGCCCATACATTAGTCAGGTTAGAGCATGTTTTCATCGATACCAGTGATTTTGTTAACAGTCGTTCTACTAATACTTATCAGTTAGGTCATAATACATAAATATACAGTAAATCAATTACATCTACATCACTATTAAGCATTAATTTTCTGTGGCCAATGAGGGTAAGATACGATTGACCATTGAATGTGGATAGATAGACACTCAATTAACCGATTAGTATATAAATTCCTTTCTATTATTGACTTCGATTTAGGACTTTACTAAGTGTAGCCTGTTTGTAATTGTGTTAAATAAAATCTTGTATGGCATATAGTCTAATTCTTGATATTTGGTAAAACATGTGTAGCGTACCAATCTAGTAACCAGTGTCATGGTAACATAATTTCGTGCTAAGCCGTATTATCACATTGTAGTAGTATATCGTGGTACATGAGAACATTTGCATTCTGTAGTTATATTGTAACGAACGAAAACTAAGGTACGGTAAACCACTTTACAGAGTTCTTGTAGAATTACCCAAATGCCTTTGTAAAATATGAAAATTATACATACTTCATGATTCTTCTGATCCTGTCATTATTCCAAATGTTCTTTGTTTTCCTCCTTGTTCGCTTCAATTCGATCCTATGCTGACAGGCATTCTACCTCAGATTGTTGCTACATACCATTTGTATCTGTCAGCATAAATAGCATAACCCATAATCTCATTAACGTTACAGACTGACATAAATTAGCCGATCACTGGGATCCATGAAGCAATGGATAGTTGTTTCATTTTCGTATGCTACCTCATCAGAGATTGAATTCGAGGCGTTCAGATCCTGAACGCACACTTCTGAAGAATCCTACACGAGGACGAAACAACTATCTCAGTGCATTTTAGTTTTCAAAGATTGTTTAAATAAGATTAATCCATAGTGTAAACTATAGAAAACATAACAATCTCTACAAACCTCTCATACCAATATCTGCTAGCTAATAATAAATATACAGAGCGTACATAGAAAAAGAATAAGGGATAAAAAATGGATTTCCTATTCACATTGTAATCATCGCGCTGCCCCCCCCCCAAAAAACATTCATCACACAATGTATTACATAAAAAGAAAGAATATAACAATGTTTTAACATTAAATGCTCCAGTTAATAGGGTACACTTAATAATAGAATGATGAGTAAAGATAACATATAGTAATTAGGATGGAATAATTTAACAAATGAATATTCACTGAGAGTTTGAAATATGTTAAGGTTAATACTACCACTACTACTACTATTAATAGTAATAATGATAACAGGGATAAAAATGGTAAGAATAATTTGATTTAATGTTAATAACAAGGCAGAATCAACTATTCTCCTTGAACAATATTCTCTTCGTTCGAAGTAGACAATTCAGGAGGATTAGTATCAGTAACTGATGGGCTAGAAACAGACGGAACAGGAACATTATTATCATCTGATAATAAGCTTGCAACAGTACATGCATTAACTTCAGTAGAAGGTGGTGCATGATGTTTAGATGATTCAAAAAATACCACTTCTTCACTGACTGAATCAATAGGTTGGGTAATTTTAGAGCTTGTAGTAACAACCGCCAAAGAAGGATCTGAATGAGTTACAACATTTTGTGAAATTGTTACAGTGATATTAGGTACAGGCGTATCATTCGATGGTTCAATAATTTGACGAACAGTGTGTGGTTCCGATGTAATAGGATAGACAGATTCTGACCAAGAATCACAAGTTGTTTCTGTTTGTGCTAGTGTATTAGAGGCTGGCTGTGTTGTTGTTGTTGTCACCGTGGTTATCGTCGTCATCGGTAGTTGTGCTTGACACTCATCACGTGGATGATGTTGAATAAGTTGAGTAGGTGTTGGAGAAATATGTCCACCAGATGATAGTTGTTGATTTGGAGAAGGCAAAGCAGACGGAGTTGTTGTTGTGATTGTCCCATAATTTGATGATGGATAAACTGTTAGATTTGTAGAGGTAGAATTTAAAGCCGATCTTGGATCATTAGAAATTGGTGCAGTTTGTGCTGGATAATTACTGCTAGTTGGTTGAATAACATGAGGTCCCGGTTGTATTGAAGGATTAGAGTGTAGGACTGGATTCATTACTACCGAACAAGAGCTTTGAGTACCAGAATAGGTAGGTTGTGAAGGATTTTGTGGCTGCTGTAGTTGTTGTTGTTGGGGTAAAACGACGTTACTACTTTGTTGCTGCTGCTGTTGTTGTTGATGATGATGCATTAAAGCTCTGGCACGATTCTCCATTGTTTTAATCACTTCCATATGAAATGCTTGACGTTCTTGTAATAACTGTTGACGCATTTGCTCAATCATTTCATATTCGCGTTCCATGATACTTTCTAATTCCTAATTAAATAGAATATAAATTAGACGATAATGGGAAACGCAAGGAAAGAATGCATAGTACAATTTCATAATACCTTCTCACAACTAGATATCAAAGATAAACTCGCTTTTATAGTTAATGGATTATTTAGAAGTGATCAATAAATAAGATGTATGTCAATCTATTCTTTAATCCTGATTGAAATCTATCGATCAATTTGCAATATGATCACTAGTCTAAGTGAATCGACATTGCGTATACTATATTGAGCTGTAAAGTAGTAATTGAAGATAATCGTGCTATTTGGTACTCGTTAGCTCACTGGTGACGTTTTTGAATGCGAAGCTGAGTGATACAAGATAGAGTCCGCCAAGGATCATATCAATTCTCTTGAGATTACAGATATATCTGGCCAATAAAAATTATTTATTGCTTCTGGGATAATATTAGCAATTACTACTGGGTAATTGACTAACAAACCACTGGAAACCAGGAAGCATTAGTTAGTTGTGTTTTTCTTAGCACATAACAGTGAGCATCTATGACTAGAGTTTCCTGGTTTTAAACAGTTTTCTCTAATCAAGGTTAATTTGTGTTGTAAAACTTAACAAACTCTTGCATTAATTGTTTTTCTGTAGGTCATGTTAATGTACAAGGTATTGGAATATCGTTCAGTTAATTATCATATGTTCTATCCTAGTTTCCTGTATTAAACAATACGATAATTATAATGATAGATTAGTCGTGATATGTTTTATCAGTCAGTTATCAACAACGTAGAACTTCGTACGTACGTAAGTACATCAGTTCGAGTTGTCATACCACATTATTAGCACACAGATACATACAATCGTTGATTCAAATCACATAGTGGTAGAGGTACTAAGAGTATAAGCAGTGACCGGAAAGATTAGAGACGTTATTCAAGGAGTATAATCTAGTGAGATAAATTTATAAAGAGAAAAAGTGACATGAAGAATTTAGAAGATTCGAATTTGGGAGAACACAAAGAGTGGATGCACCTGCTCACACCATTGCAAACGATTTCGAGCCATGTTTTGGTCTGGTCGCCCCTAGCTTTCTTTCAACCTACTCCTACACCACAAAACATCGCACGTCGAGGCAGTCGGTCGTTGGGCATACGTAACACATGTCCCAGCCATCTCAACTGATGAAGTTTCACTACGTCATCAATTGATTTGCCATCCTTACCTAGTCCCCGTTTCCTAACAACTACATTACTTACTCGGTGGTCCCAGGATATACGAGCAATGTTTGGAAGACACCTATGATCAAAAACTAGTAACCTACGAATGTCCTCTACTCTTACCGGCCATGTTTCACTGCCATAAAGTAGGACGGAATGAACTGCTGCGCAGTAAACCCATCCTTTGTTTGATAGACGGATATCTCGCCTACACCATAAATGACGCAAGTTAGCAAAAGCTAGTCGACCTCTCAATATCCGTGCTGAGATTTCGTCACACATCAGACCACAAGGGCTGATGAGACTCCCAAGATAAGTGAAGCGGTCGACACGATATCTCAGTGAAGATTGAATTATGAATAACTTCTAAGAACTATTTATAGGCTAATATAATATGTATGTTCTTATTATATGACTTTTAAGTATATTTATATTCATATTCCCTTCATGATAAGCTTTTATTTGACCTATTGGTTACAGTTATATGACTTACTAGTCTCAATCTATTAGTCACAGTTACTCACAATTGCAGCCACTTTTTGGTTTGAACTTGTACAAACGTTATTATCTATTTTATAGTGTGATATGGTTTGATTTTACTTCTATATAAACTAAGTAAGTTTGAAATATATAATTCGATATAACACAGACTGAGATTGACGTTCTGGACTGAATCGGCTGGGTTAGACGAGAAACTGCTGCCATCTTAAGAACCAATAAGAATTCTAGGCTGCTTGTATTGGTTTATGCATCATTGGTCCGGTCAATAAATCGTTGACTTTAATTTGTCATTGTATCGCGTGATATATAATAACAAGGCACAAGGGTCATAAGTTATCATACTTGAAGAAACTGTATCTATAATTAGTCTACAAGAGGTTTTGGTATCTATGTAATTATGCCACAAAGCTGAGATGTACTGTTTTGTTTGTGTAAAAATTTGAAATAGTGTCCGGTTCTCTTGAAAATCATCCTATCGTCGGATATATTTATAAATTGTGAATAGTGATGCAGTAGGGTTACTAGTGGTTAAGGTGTTCAAATTTCAACCATTAAATTTTAGGTTCAAGATCTGTTCCACTGGTGTACTTTGGTTTAGGCAACTATTTAGGTATTCGTGAGTGAATAACAGTAGTAACAAAACAATACCAATCAAATCTTACCTGGATTTGTTTAAGTTTTATATCGAGTTTTTTCAACTGTGTTTCAACTAATTGAGCGACTAAACCTTTTATACGTTTTTCTTCAACACTGGCTAAATGACGTGCTTTAATAGCTGCAGCAGCTAATGCACATGCTGCAGCTGTACCTAAACTATTCGGATTCGGTGGTAATGAAGATGAAGACGATAATGATGGGGTGTTAGTTACTAATTTTTCATTAGATACTTGTTCATTAGTTGATTTTTCTAGTTGTTGTGTAGCAGAAGAATCTATAACAGACTTAGTGAGTTTTTCTTGTTCAATTGTATCCTTTAATTGTTCATCAGATGATTTTGTTTGAATTCTGTCACTGCCAACAACTTCAGCAGTAGCAACAGGAGTCTCATCCATTACTGTAAGCGGTGTCTGATTCACATCAGTTGAATCGTGTTGTTGTTCGTCAATTGTCACCTGCTCAGTTTTACTGCTATCACTTTCTACATTTTCCTCCATTTTATATTTTTCTAACTTTGTTGTTACATTACTGTTATTAATATTATCATCATCATCGTGTTTATCACGATTTTCAGTGACTTTACTTTCATTCGTGGTGTCGTCAGTGGGAACAGTTGTTATTGTTGTGTCCATTGGGACAGTTTCCTAAAAAAATAGATGAGAAGTAACAAGACAAAAATATACACACTACAATTTTATAATAATAACAATAATGCAATAAGGAGAATATAATGCCTATTGACATTATTTAATACAGGCTAAGAGAATCAATAATACTATTGCGTCATTTATCAAATGAATTAAACATAATATGCTCTCAAATGCCCTGTCACGGTCGAGGGTGAGGAGAGTCTACTCTCGTTTTCGAAATGCTTTCACACAGCCATGTGTATACGGTCACTATCAGGGAAGTCATACTCACTGCCTTCTCGCGGGCATTACTGTTGTTTACAAAGTTGAGAAGACGAAAAGCGAATGTCCGGCACTTTAACCGGATCTCAAACCAATGGTGCACATGGGCTTCAGTATCCTGAGGGAACAAATGGCGTATGAACCAATCGTTGATTACCGGCTACCATGGGACTGCATCTCCTTACGTTGCTCCATTGCCTTGTGGATCAGACTTTCAGGTTCGAAGGCTCGGGGACTGGCCCCATAAGAAAGCCAACTGCTTCGGTTCAGGCACAGCCCTCACACATATCGAATGAGATTTGTGTGACGCATATCTATTTGGTGCCTCCTTTTACCAATATCTATGTGTTAAAATAAATAAATAAATAATGTATAAAATAGAAATAACTTTTAATTAGATTTAATAATGATTAATTTCGTTTACTTTATGATTAGTTGTTTCTTTTATTATATCATTATCCATTGACATTTGTTCATTACCAACTACTGATAATTTCTCTGTTGTAATTGATTGTGTAGATGATTTACATAATTTTTCTGATTCCATTAATTGATTATTACCACCAACTTCATCTAAGCCAAATTTTTGTGGATCAATTTGATGACCTAATTTTACTGCATTTTCAACACGTGCTTTATGTTCACGTAATAGACCAGCTGGTACTTCATCACGCATTTTAGCATATTCTATAAGTGCTGCTTGAGCTGCAGCTGATGCTACACGTGGATCAACAGCAGCGGCTAAAAATGCTACAGTTGATAGGATAGGATTAGCAGCTTTTGAAAAAGGCAATGTAGGATGATTGGAATTTGCTAATGATGTTAAATTTAATATAGGATCTGAACCTTCTAAATAAGCATCTTCAATAGGTAGACGTAGAAAATGAAGAATACATTCTTCTTGTGTACGACTTCCTACATGTTCAGCAACCTGTAAAAGATGAAATACAATGTATTTTAACGAATCTACAATTATGTGGAAATCGTTAAATTAACATCGAAATTCCTGAGAATAACAGAAATATATATATGAAGGAAACTTTTTACTGGAGAGACTAAACACAGGTGAACTGATATTTTTCTAGAGAATAAATGCATACAACTTATTAGGTTTGCACACCAGGTCATGAGGTTCTTGTTAAAATCGAAGTAGATAAAGTCTTATGTTGGGTTTTTTTTTACTTTGGTGGTACATATAAACAAATCAAATTGATACAGACAATATTAGCATGGCAAGGAGATGCAAAATCGTGAAGGTTTTATATTTAGCCTCAAAATGTCCTGTTACAGGCAGGACTAGTGTTGTAATTTTCTCTTATTATGACCCAGCTATTCCTATTGCTTAGTACTCTTGGACACCAATTCACTCGACAAGTCCTCAAATCAGAACACGATTGAACAGGAACGAAATAATATTCCAACTAACAAGGGTAGATGGCAGTTAAACGCACAATAAGAGAAACGTTAGTATATTTATGATTTTTAAATGAGAATATTCTAAAATCCTCTCCAAGTATCGACTAGCGCAGTAACACAATCGTACACAGAACGTGCTTTAATCCAATCTGTATCCCGCTAACAATTAGAAAGAGCCTGCTCTGCTTCCCGAAAAGCTTTCATATGGTCACACCTTTATCTCCTCTCCCAGAGAATTCCTCCTCATCGGTGGGTTTATGAAAATCAGAGAAAGAAAAAAAAATACAGCGCTTGAATCGGGTTGGTGGATATAGAAAGTTCACTTAGGAGAGTAAGAAAGCCTTGGTTACAAAGACTCTATGATTCTAAGAGAATAAATGGAGTGTGAACATGTTTCTGATCACCAGCTATCACTATGGATGGTATCTCCTGATGTTGCTCCATTGCTTTGTGAATCAGACTTATTAAGTTAAAGATCCAGAGAACAAATTTCTAAGGAAAACGTCAGGTCTGATTTAAACACTTGGGCAACATTCTACCCTACACCACTTTGGTATGCAAGATATTTTCTTTATTTCGAAAAAAAAGAAACCCTTCTAAAGAGGATTTCGAAGAAATTTCATTGAAATATTAAACTTACCTTATTCCAATCATCCCGATAAAGTTCTAAGGCTTCTAATAACAATAGAGTTTCTTGATCACTCCAACCACTTTGTGTAGCACCTTTCATAAGTTTGTTATTAACAATTACCGACTGTGATGTTGCGTCTAAATTAGTTGTAGAAGGTTGGCTACGACTATCCGTAGAATTTAAACAAGTAGTTTTCGCAATGCTTGCATTAGTAAGATATTGATCTGTACGTAAATTTGGATCACCGATAATTGGTTGTTTATTTAAAGGTTGTGTACTATTAGTAATACATATTCCAGAACTGACAGTTGTTACAGAAGCAGGAATTGTAGGATTTAACGTCGTTGTTGCGTTCGCACATTCGGTTCCCTTTGAAAAAAAAGGATATAATGTTTGAACATCTAACTGAATTCAATATATACGCACAAGTTTATAGATGATCATCTATCGATGAAATTAAGGTATTTCAGGTAGGACAGTATTGGTGTAGAGATACAATGTATTTGGTAGAAAAATTAATGCTTGTCAAAATTAAGTAGTCTGGATATTATCTTTAGTGAAAGCAAATATTGATTTGTTACTAAAGTAATATATTGAAACTTTTTCTAAAAAAAATTTCAACAAACTCATTGTGTATAGAATTAATCAATGCTATAAATTACTTCTGACAGATTGACACAGTGATCATTGTGCTACAATGTGGTTATGATAAACCACAAATCAAAACACAGAATATGTCAGAGTTATGAATGAGTTACACTTGATATAATAGTAAGAATTGATAGAACCAATAAGTCAGAAATTCTGGATTTAGATGTAGAGTACTGGATGATAAAACCTAGTGATAAATAGATTCAAACAATGTTTCATTCACTTTACTGTGAACAATCTGGTAATATATCATGAGGTACTGTACAAATAGGATAACACAAGGTTAAATATACTTGGTATATGAGCTATATGATTGAATGAAGGTGAACGAAATTGGTAACAAACCTGACCTAATTTAAGTAAGTTGTACATTTTTTAAAGCTAAAACCTAGTTTCTACCTTGACTCACCAAGTTCAATGCCTTGTATACATTAACATATAGGATGACATTGGTACTAATCTACCCCCAAATGCCCTGGTATGACCGAGAGTGAGGAGAGTCTGCTCTCCCTCTCCAAATGCTCTCACATGGCCACGCGTATACAGCCTCTGCCAGGGAAGTCCTACTCACTGCATTCTCGTGGCGTTACTGTTGTTTACGAAATTCAGAGGACGAAAAGCGAATGTCCGGCACTTTAACCGGATTCCAAACCAATGGTGCACATGGGCTTCAGTATCCTGCGGGAACAAATGGCGTATGAACCAATTGTTGGTCACCGGCTTCCATGGGACTGCATCTCCTTACGATGCTCCACTGCCTTGTGGGTTAGACCATTAGGTCAAAGTCTCGGGGTGTGGCCCCCTAAGAAAACCACCTGCTTCGGTTTGGGCACCCAGGCAGTATCACAGCCCACGCACACACAAATATGGTGTGGGGCATATATATTTGGTGCTCTCTTGTACCAATATTTATGTGTTGAAATAAATAAATAATCAGTGTTTTACCTATCGAAGTACTCAATTTTTAGCTGCTAAATAACGTTTTTGAGTTCAGCTTGACTTAACTCGATAAGAAAAACTGGGTAAGGTTATTAAAATTGCAATTTGAAATGAAATACACAAATAAGTATTTGGATATGAATGAACTTGCCCCCTTCCTTAAAAAATAAAACAATTGCTAATATAATTTATTTTTGAATTGTTTGTTTGAATCTTCCCATTGATGTTTAGGACTAAAATTGATCAGTCTCTTATCGGCATAAATGCATTCTGTGTGGAATGCCTCGATATTGCCTTAAGTTACAAGCATTGTGAGCAATGGCTAGCAGTGGAATCCAGGACGCACGTCACCTTGTCTTATTTGGGACTCGTCATCTGGATGTACCTGCATCACATAGTGGATGTTCACTCCGGGACTCGAACCCAGTACCGTCTGCTTCCAAAGCCACTGTTTACGGAATAATGTACTATCTGATAATAGAGTGGATATATAAAACGATAAACATTATTGTTATAAAGTACTAATTGTACTATTTTGTTGATATTCTCTTTAGGTTGTATCAACATGAAACTTTCAAGTTTTCAATAGTGATGGTCTAACCTAGATTGACTTGTGGATTCAAGTGTTAAAATAAGAAATTTACGAAAAGTATTTATTAATACACATACTTGTAATTCTTGTTTAGGTATATTATTACTGATTAATGAGGTAGTAGTATCATTACTATTACCGTCATTATTAGTATTAGATTGCATTTTATACGGATCTAATTGATTCCCGTCAGTTGAAGTCGTCGTCGTAGTAGTAGTAATATTACTACCATTATCAATAGTATTACTATTATTATTAGTAGTAATAGGTGGAATTATTGAATTTGTTCCAGCTAAATTTTGTGTACCAATTGGTTGTAGACCACTAGCACTATCAGCTAATATATGAAAATGTGCAGTACTTGGTGGTCCTAAACTAGCAGCTACTGCAAGACGAGCAGCTTCTGATGAATTATTACCAGCAGTATTAGTAGTAGTGGTAGTAGCACCAATAGTAGTACTAGAAGTACCATTTAAATTATTGATTCCATTTGATGATGATGAATTTGTTATTGTTGTTAATGGTGCAGTAACTTGATAATTAATTAAACCCCATTGTTCTAAAAATGCATGAACTCTAAGAATTGAACAAACATCACCAGTGAGATTTCTTCGACAAGCTGTAAATGTAAGATATTCCTTTAAAAAAAAAAGAAGACAACATAATACAATTGAAAATTATAATTATTTAATGAATATTCTATTCAATGAAAAAGATTATTTAGACAAAACACACACACACACATTAACAATCTATCCGGAAATGACAAAACGATGTTTTATGAGGACAAGAGATAGGATACTTTTGTTTGTGAGTTTGTAACACATCCATTTCTCAATTAAGCGATTTTTGTGTGGACATTTTTACATTCACTTAGTGAATGATAGCTCCATTAAAAGACAAGAATTTCCAGTACATTGTTGTGGAGATTGTTGAGTTTTTTAACTGAGATAATGAATGGATCGTCATTAAAAATCTGGAAGCACTGGATGATCGTCTCGTCGTGGAATGGGATTCATCAGCAATGCACATCTAAGACCCCGCATGTGGGACTTCGACCTAGGACTTTCGGTCACATGAGAGGACGCTTAACCTTAAGACCACTGAGCCGGCATCCAACGGTGTTAATGTTTAACTTCAACCAATCCACGAAACTGCGCGATCATCTTCCATTGTCTGAAAAAGATACATGTCTTTCACTGGAAATTTCATTTTAGGCATTAACTTTCAAGTTATCTCTGTTTGTTTTATCCAGAAAGTTGGATATGCTACAGTAGCGTTTTCAAGGAAGATATGTTTAGACAACTGTGAAATATTAAAAAGAAGTTCTCAATGAGAATTACACATTTAGATTATAACACTCGCCTAACAAAATGAACAGAAAAAATGTTCGAGAATGCTGGATATTTTACTTTTTAAAAGGACGGTTATTCTGATTCCAATAACAACAGATTGTATTTCAACCGAAATAAATTTATTATAACGTTTTTTTTTTACAAATACGTATGATAGATCGAGTGAATTTAGATATAGTCTAATGGTAGGTAAGAGATCACAAACGATGCTGCAGGCTATTGAAGAGTGCCAAGTATACTTATAGTTAAGCTCTCTGTATACATATCTTTGTCTGAGTCAGAAGAATATATATATCAACGATTCGCATACTTAATTATTCACTTTTTGCCAACTAACGTCTCCTAGATGTTTCACAGTCTTCTCATTGGTATAAATAATTAGGCAAGCTGTTTGGATGATTCTGTTTTTGATATTTTTGACTGGAATTTGATCACTCTTAGTTGACATCTGTGTATCCAAAGCGAATTGCCTCGATAATGTCACTGTGACATAAGTTAGTGGATAATAAATGGAATGTGGCTAGCAGTGGAAACTAGGACGCACGTCACTTTGCCCTATTTGGAACTTGTCACCTGAATGTACATATATCCCAGAGTTGATGTTCACTCTAAGACTCGAACCTAGTACCGTTTGCTTCAAACATAATCGCGTTATCCAATTAGCTAATGAGTCCAGATAACCACTCACTTTCCCTGTTAAATACATTCCATATATTCTCGCTTTCTAAATATATACATATATAATTATAGTGTAACATAATGTAACGGGTAGAATGAACTGAAAAGGGAATTTCATCATTTTTACTTAACAATATAAGTACTGTATATAATTCAACCTTGTTAACACAACTAATATAATTAATTGTATTCGACTGGGAATTCGGAATACGTATATTTACTTGCAATAGTGAACAAATTAAACAGCATAACTATTTATGAAAGAAATGATTTTAACTAGTAATTATGTATAACACAAACATCATGATGCAATCTTGAAGCATTAAGAAAAGCTGAACACAAAAGTGGATGACAGTTCTGTGAATAAGTAACTATAATAAAGTGAAATCCAGTTTAAATAAGAACGTAATCAATTAACTCTCATAGATACATTTTAACGTTTATGCAGAATACAATGAAATCACAACAGCAATACCATAAGATTTTATTTTTAACGATTTTTCATAATGTCCCAAACGAATGAGTAACTTGAGTGATCTCTAGAACTTCATCGGAGAAACTATGGTGAAACAATAAAAGCTGATCCAATAACACAACTACCATTCATACATCTTTTCTGTTCTTCATCAAGTTTCAGAATCAACAGATAACGTAATCTATGTAATTGTCTCAAAAGAGAAATAACAATAGCTTTATGATTTTCACAATATGTTGTCGACATAGCTTGGAAACAACTGTCAGACATCTTTAACTAGAAGGCCTAGTTCTGTAGGTATAAAATAGAGCTGCCTGTATCACATCATTGGATACTTGATCTTTTATAAGTTTAATGCGCAGCGATTCACTCCGTTCTGCTTCATAAATGTGAAGCATAGTTATTAAAAACTGAGGATATTCGTAAAATACTGACTCTTAACCACAGATGTTTTAGAAGTATTCCGCATGTATTTTCGGACCATCATGTGAGTAATGTTGAGATAGACATAGGGTACTAGGTTAACATGCCAAACAGGTTGATGAGGTAGTGAATCTTTATCTATTGAAATGGTTGAGACATGTATTATGTATAGCCAACCACTGTCCATATATAAAACATATATTTTCTTGAGTCATGTCTTCGATGTCTAATATTTTAAATTACTACTCATCCTGTCACTATTGTGGGATTTGGTCCCGAATAGGATGAGGTGACGTATATCCTGGATTCCACTGCTAGCCACCATTCATTTTCGCTTTAAATCACTATACAACTCCTAAGTGATCAAGTAGAGAGAAAAAAAACTAATACACATGTTGTTATAGACATTGTGTAAGGACGGTCCACGGGTGAGCTCGAGGAAGCTCAGAAAGAGCCGAATATATTCCATCCAATCAGCTTTGGAAGAATATTCCACAATCACTACGTGTAGCTTCCCTATTGGACGAATGCTAATAATCCCCTGTGTGCGGATTGGATGACTATAATGGTGATTTCGTTTTTATTGAAAGCTATAAATACATGGCAGTTTTGTACCATAATTAACACTATTTAAAATAACATTCCTTTCAGTTGTCTTCTGTCTTCTCATTTGCAACTTGGAAATGTTCTAGTGTTCGAGTGCTCAAGTTATACGCAGCATATCAAGAATATAAGCTCCAGATATAACACATTGTCAACGTCGAGTAAATTTGTAAATCGTGACAGTTGAACATATATCATTAAAACTATTTTACAACGGTACAATTGATTAAGATATAAAATGTCTAAAAACAAATTTATAATCAGTTTTATATAAATAAATCAAAACTATTAAGTAAGATAAAAAAAATTTACCTGAGGATTTAAACGATATGTATCAACCATAAAATTACGATAAGCCAAATAAACTTCCGGTGTTTTACTTTTATTTTGACCATTGAAAAATTCTGGTAATGCACGACGTTCAATTCCATGTATAGCATTATAATCAAACCAAGCTGAATAAGATGGTATCACTATACAATGAGCTTGTTCTGTTACACTTAAATCAGTATGAATAACACTTTGTCGACTTTCATCACCATTTTGAGCACAATTGACAGAGCTCATTTCACCAACTGGACAGAAAAAAAAACAGAAATTACAAATCAACATTTAATAGTGAAAGTGAAATATTGGGATAAAAAATAAACAAACATCATACTTTACCAGTTAGTCAACTGAAGCCCCCAAATGCCCTGGTACGGCCGAGAGTGAAGAGAGTTCGCTCTCCCTCCTGAAATGCTCTCACATGGCCACGTATATACAACAGCCTCTGTCAGGGAAGTCCTACTGACTGCCTCCTCGCAGAGAGGGTGTTATTTGGGAAATTAAGAGGACTAAAAGCAAATGTTCGGTGCTTTAACCCCATCGACGAATATAAAGGATCCACCTAGGGGAGTTGGAAAAACCTTATTCCAAACCAGTAGTGCACATAGACTTCAGAATCCTCAGGGAAAAAATGGAATATGAACCTATTGTTGGCCACCAGCTACTATGTGGTTGCGTCTCCTAACGTTGCTTCACTGTCTTGTGTATTATACCTTTAGGACAAAGGTTAAGGGAGTAGTTCCCTAGGAAAACCATTAGCCCCCAAATGCCCTGTTATGGCCGAGAATGGAGCGGGTTCGCCCTCCCTCTCGAAATATTCCCACACGGCCACGCGTCTACAGCCTCTGCCAGGGAATTCCTACTCACTGCATTCTCGTGGCGTTACTGTTGTTTACGAAAATGAGAGGAAGAAAAGTGAATGTCCGGCGCTTTAACCAGAAAGTGCGTTCCACAGATATTGTAGTACTAGCCGGAGACTTGAATGCTCAGGTAGGGTGTCTAGGCACAGAAGAGAGTCGTTTAGGTGGCCGATGATGACTTTTTGGTCGCAGGACAGATAACGGGGACCGTCTACTGCAATTGTGCACAGACCACAACCTGTTTCTGGCTAGCACTAACTTTCGGCACAGTCATCGCCGATGTGCCACCTGGCGTCCTCCCTCTGCATCTCAAGCCTGGATTCAGATTGATCACATCGCGATCAGCTACCGCTGGCGTGGTTGTGTACAAGACTGCCGCTCCTTTTGGAGTACCTATTTGGACTCTGATCATGCTTTGGTCTGCGCCAATCTTGCCTTACTTTTCAGTGGTCAAAAAAGTGACCGCCACCAACGGATTGATGTTAGCAAGTTGGTTACAACTTCTGTTGCAAGTAAGTATCAAACCGAGCTAGCTTCTAGGCTAGCTACCATTCCACCGAAAAGTATAGATGAGCATTGGTTGCAATTGCAAGACGCCATGAAAATGGCGGGTACAGTCAGTTGTGGGTTCGCTAAACTTACGTCACTTGTGGCGAAGGTTAGATATCCGTCTATCAATAAAAGGACGAGTATACTGCGCGGCAGTCCGTTCTGTTTTAATTTACAGCAGCGAAATATGGCCATTAAGAGTAGAAGACACTCGTAAGCTATTAGTATTTGACCACAGATGCCTTAGAAATATTGCTGGCGTCTGCTGGGATAACCGAGTAAGTAATAGTGAGGTTAGACGCGGGGTATTAGGAAATGATGTTAAATCAGTTGATGAGGTTATGAATCTTCATCGACTGAGATGGTTGAGCCACGTGTTCCGTATGCCTGAACACCGATTACCACGACGTGCAATGCTATCCGGTATTGGAAATGGTTGGAAGAAAGTTAGGGATAGTCAAACCAAAACGTGGCATCAGTGCTTGAAGTCACTAACTTCTAGTCTGAACCATGTTGGTAGATGCAGACTACTTGGTTGGGGTCCGCGTGACTATCGTAACCAATGGTTGGAGACTCTTGGTGACATGGCTCAGAATCGATCACAATGGCGTCGGTGTATACACTCCCTGTCTTCCCTTAAACTAAGAGATTAAAATCGCTTCATATCTTTCTTTCTACGAACCAATTTTTTCTTCTTGTACTATATCTCTATATGTAATCTTTCTCTTATATATTACCACCTTTTACCTAACCACTGTTATTAATCCGGTGTTCATCTTGTTGTGCTGATGCGGTATGGCAACCTGGAACGATGCATATATGTGCCTGGTCCTACGTTGTAGCTGACTGACTGGGTTCGCTAAACGTCCCGCTTTTAAGCACTGGGTTTCTTCTGGTTCCTTACAACTCATTGAAGCCCGTCAGTCTACTCCAGGTGACCGTGAGTTTGACCACAAACGAAGGTTGTTACGCAATGAAATTGGGCAACGTTTGCGTAAGGACCGAGAAGCCTGATGGTCGGAGCATGCTAATGAGCTGGAAGCAACAGCTGCATCTGGCAATTACCGGAAGCTCTTCCAGCTCATCCGAGCCACTGGCAGCAAGAAGTCTGGTGTGAGTGAAACAATCTGTGAGGAAGACGGGATGCCAATCATTAACATCCATCGACGTCTTGGACGATGGGCAGAATTTTTCGAAGGGCAGTTCAACTGGCCTACTGCTCCGGCAGCATTGGTCAGACTGTCCTGCCCTCCATGGCAGATGACGACTGATCCACCAAATGAGGCGGAAGTCCGCAAGGAACTCCAACTCTTGAAGTGCTACAAATCACCTGGCCCAGATGACTTACCTCCGGTTCTTTTTAAAGATGGTGGTGACTTTCTGACTAAGGAACTAACGACGTTGTTTACAAAGGTGTGGGAGCTAGAGAGTGTATCAACCTCATGGAATGAGTCGATAATTGTCCCTATCTTTAAAAAGGGTTCACGTCGTTCCTGTAACAACTATCGGGGGATAAGTCTACTTCCGATTGCATCCAAGCTATTGGCTTCCGTCATACTTCGTAGGTTGTTCAAAATCCGAGAAAGATTGAGTCGCGAGGAGCAGGCTGGATTTCGTTTTGGTCGAGGATGTATTGATCATATATTCACTCTCCGCCAAATGTTAGAACATCGACATACTTTTCAAAGGCCAACAATCGTAGTGTTTCTTGACATCAGGGCTGCCTTCGATTCGTTGGATAGGACTGTTCTCTGGGATTGTCTATTGAAGAAGGGTTTGCCTGAGAAGTTTATTAATGTAAACCAATTTATTGTATTAAGTAAGATCACACACCATTTATAAAATATGGGTGGATCTAATGGACATGTGGATCTATCACCGGGAGAAAGACTTCTCGACATTGAGTATACGGATGATATTGTCTTACTGTGCGATAATGCCCATGGCATGCAATCCGCACTTAATCAGTTGGCAATCAGTGTCCGTAGGTACGGTATGTGCTTTGCACCTTCGAAGTGCAAAGTAGTTCTACAAGACTGGCAGGATTCTAACCCTGTACTCACTCTGGATGGTGAGCAGATAGAAGTAGTCGAGAAGTTCGTGTATCTGGGTAGCTGCATAAGTGCTGGTGGGGGTGTGAGTGATGAGATCAATGGACGTATAGTGAAAGCCAGAGCGGCTTATGCCAATCTGGGCCACCTTTGGCGCCTTCGTGATGTTAGTCTGGCCGTAAAAGGTCGGATTTACAACGCGTCGGTGAGAGCAGTTTTGCTCTATGCTTGTGAAACCTGGCCTCTCCGAGTTGAGGACGTTAGACGACTTTCTGTGTTCGATCATCGTTGTCTCCGAAGGATTGCTGATATCCAGTGGCAACACCATGTTAGTAATGCAGAGGTTCGGCATCGTGTGTTCGGGTACAGAGACGATAATTCAATTGGTGTCACCATCTTGAAACACCGACTTCGGTGGCTCGGACATGTTCTACGAATGTCGTCCAAGAGAATTCCACGTCGTGCATTGAGTGCTGACGCTGCAACTGGTTGGAAAAAGCGGAGAGGTGGTCAGTGCATGACATGGTGTCGTGGTATGAAAGAAAGCTGCAAAGGATTGGCTTCTGTCGATCCTTCACGACTCCCTGGTTGGGGTCCGAGAGATGGTGCTACATAGTGGCTAGAGACGTTTTCAGATATGGCTCACAACAGAAGCCAGTGGCGATCCTGCTGTAACCTTTTACTTTCTTCATAAAAGTGGTTGTTTCTTCCTCAACTGAAATATTTGTTCTGATTGTATCTTTCCGTTCCCTCATTATGACTATGATTATTACTACACTCCCTTACACCAATCTCTTCATTATTGCTTTTCTTAAAAAAAAATTTTTCGTTCCTTAGTTTTTTTCTTCTTAAATTCTCATTGTTTTGTGAGGCGCATATATATTTGGCGCACTCCTGTACCAATATATATGTGTTCAAATAAATAAATAAATAATAATCGATTTCGGTGCCCAGGTAGTATCTCAGCCCCCACACAAATCCAATGATGAAGTGTGGAACATATATATTTGGTGTCTCCTTGTACCAATATTTTTGTGTTTAAATAAATAAATAAATAAAATACCAAACAAAACCACACAATAGTCATATCTATTTTATTTAGCGGCTGTATTTGACTTCATATACTAAGAAATATTTGTGGAAATCGTGAACAATCAAAACAATACAAAGGTTTTAACAACTTGAAGGCGAGAATATAATTTATGGACGAATCAGGTCATGGATTTTGGAGTGACATTCATTCATTCATTTGGTTAAATAGCGTTTCGGCATTTTAGCTTATTTCAGTTCGTGGTGAGAACCATGAATCTAATTCCTCACACTGGTTTATGACTCTCATTTAATCCTAGTTAGTAAGTGGACATTCCGAAGGTTACTTTAGCGTCGTTTAAAGGTCGTAGATAAATTATAGTCTCACCAACTTGGACTATTATGGCTTTCAATACAATATTTTGTGAAATTGTTCCGAGTTTGGAGGAGGGAGGGTTGACTTTATTTAATATCTCAAATACTAACTGATATTTACACTTTCACATTTTATTTTTGACAGTTAATCAAAATACTGATATATTAATTATCTAGTTGTAGAATAATAATAATACTAATAATTACTACATTTTATGGAGTAAATTTATTACCTCCACTTATACCGCCACTAGTGTGATATTCATTGAGACCTCCATCCATAGCATCACCGGTTGTTTCATTATCTTCATCTAGATCAAACAACGATTTACCAATACCCAGTTCACCTCCCCCACCATGTGATGCATTAATACTATTATTAGTACGTGTTGGTCGTGATACATTGAATCCTGATGTTGTGGAACCATTTGATGATGTAATTTGTGTAATTTTATTTGGTGGTTCAGGATCATCAAAATCTTTAGTAATGTCTGTATCATTTGTATCCTCTTTGTTAGGATCTTGTGGACCAGTTTGACATGAAAATGATTCGTCTTCATCCTTTAAAAATGAAAAGTTAAAAATAAATGCAAATTCTTTTCCACAAGGATCATAATATACAACTGATTAACCATAGTGTAGAAAACCTTGCATAAATGCGTATTAATGTAAGTTATTAAACCTTAACATTACAATATCAAGAGAGTAAACTAAGTGATGAAAAGTACATATAAGGTAATAATATCCGTTACGATGGGAAGGCAAAAATGAAACTATTATTACTATTAGCACTCATCAATCAGGTACAAACCCATATACCTGACTTTGAGCCATACTTAATAAATATTTAAGAACCCATAATACTACTACCCGATTGCCCAAATCGAATTAAGTGAGGGAGGAGTTCGAATAATTGACGTCGTTGCCGAAATTCAATCAGTTTAATCACTAAACCACTGTTCTACTTAAAATTGTGTTTAAGAAAAAAAAACAAGGTTAAAGAATGAAAAGCATAAACTGATACAAAGTATGTGCAATTGATATACTAAGTAATTACCCAAGTATTACAGAAAAAAAATTGTCACATGATAGTTGAAATTGTGAACATTTCAACATACTAATTCTTCATACAAATATAAGTAGTGAGTTTATCAAGAATAATTGAAACATGAAACAATTGTCAATAGTACAATTCTAAATTTAATAAAGAAATAACGGATTCAATAAACAGTTAGATAGTATCTTTAAAATTTTATTAATCTATCAAAACCTAAACAATGTAACAAATATAAGAAGTAAGAGATGTGTGACAATAAATATTGGTTACATTAAACAAATCAAGTATCGGTAATATGAATTTGTAGATTTATAGTACACCATTATATCTTTTGTCAGGGAAGTTCTACTCACTAACTTTATGAAGCAGATGAGATACTTACAGAAAATGAGAGAACGAAAAGTGAACTTTTGATACTTAAACCAGGTCAGTGAATATAGAGAATCTATATATAGGGGATTTGGAAAATCCTAATTCTAAATCAATGGAACTCATAAGCTTCAGGATCTTAAGAGAACATATTTCCGGTCACGGGTTATCATAAGATAATATCTGGTGTTGTTCCGGGGCCTTGGAAACTAGACCTTTGGGTCGAAGACTTGGGAAGTGTTCCCCTAAAAAAGCTACATACTTAGTTCAGAGCGTCCGGTTAGTATCAAAACACATACAGACAGCTTATTTCGTGAAGATTATTCTATTTTTGATCTTAGTTGCATCAGATTTTATGTGAAATAAATTTAAAAATCGTTAATATTTAGTTCGAAAAAGTTATTTGTTTTGATAAGAGAGTATAAATAATTAAATTATAGACACACCTGGCTTTGGATCTCATCGGTTTAAGCATCTAAACACTAGTTACATGCCCTACTGTGTGTTAGATACATTTTGAGCGACCATAGTGGTGAGTTAATCCAATATTTACACAAGATTGGTAACTAAGTCTTATTAGGCAGATGGATTCGATTTGAGTTGCTGAACAATGCCATATTGGTGGCTTATAAAACAAACTTTTATTTAGTGTCTTTAACACTATTACTGAGTTCATCTGCTAGAATACCACTTGTCGGTCGAAGTAGAAGGTTATTCATAATAAAACTTATATACATTGGATTATGAAGTAATATTTTCTGTAAAATGGCGACTAATACAACCTGGTTGGTAGAACAGAGATGATTGAGAATTTAGCTCAATTCGATTACAGCTCTGATTCAGTAACCAAACACGAAATGAATATAGTCCTGATGTATTTAATAATTATTATAGCTATTTATCATCTTGATAGAGAGAATAATTATCGGCAATAAAACACACTTCTATAATAGTTTTGACTTAGGTACTTTAAAAAACTTCTAAGTAAGTTTCAATTAGATGGGTGTGATGAATTATATATGAATGTTTACACAATCTTATGATAATCATAAAAAGATTTTGAAAACCAATCAAGTTGTCATATGAGAAAAGCACAACTTCTTATCCACATTATTTGAATGAGTAAATGATGGATGAGATCAGTCAATCAAAAGCAAAGTAGAACCTGGTACATGTGTACATTGGTTCAAGTTACTATACCCTATTATCACAGAAAGACAAATTTGTCAATCCCAATCTCAGAATGGTGGAGGTAGTAACAGTATGAGTGGTGATTGAAAAGATTAGGGATCAAATATATGATTCAAGAAAAACTAATGAAATGAAAACGAAAAAATACGAGGAATTTAGAAACTTAGGATCTAGGGTAAGACAAAGAGTGAATGGACCTGCCTCATTGCAAACAATTCTGAGTCATATCCCCAAACATTGGTTGAGATAATCACGTGGACCTTAATCAGATAGTCTGGACTTACCTACATAGCTCACTTTAACAGTCAGTGGTCTTTATGGACTGATACCACGTCTTAGTTTGTCCAGTCCTAAGTTTCTTCCAATCTAGATGAGGGAACCAGATTTGATTGGTTCCAATCATAACATGGCCTGTAAATATGACACTTTATCACTTTTCTTCATAAATTTATTCCTTCTAATTAACCAATCTCTTAAATGAATAAATACAATAAATATAGTTCTGGAGGAGGTACCTGAAAAGGAAATTGGATTAGAGGCGGTCTCAGCGACCTGAGAGCGTGACCGCAGTGCCCAAGGGACAACTGCTTGAGGCCGGTCGCGCACGACCTTTTTGTGGAAGGTTTTTGACGTGTTAGCTCCGTTCTTCAAAGAGCCTTACCGCCGGAGACGGAAATCCGTGAGGTAAGGCGAGGTGTGCATTTTTAGGGTCGACCTTTTCTAACCCCACCCCTCCTTGTGGGAAGGCAGCATCGCTGTCATGCTGGTTGTCTGAAGGAAACACCTTACTGCTGTCACACCTCTGTACAGTCAGCAGTACGACTTCGCCTTCGGACCTTAGGTTTGTTGCTTTTAGTCTTACCGCTCTTCAACCGACCTGTCTGACATGGTAGGACCTTGAGGAACGGTTGTTCCAGCCAGTATAGCTCGGTTGCTTCATCACGATAGGCAAGCCCGACCACCACGTCAAGGTAGCAACAACGGTCGGGAAAAATATAGTTCTACACAGATAGAGTATTGTGTTTTCCTACAAATTAAATACAAAGCACTTCTAAAGCTTTGTGCACTACAGTAATACTTTTGCGTAATGTATCTGCATTCTTATGATAAATCAACTGTAAACATTTATAGTTTAAATCATGAACTAGTCTTGGCTAGACCACTATTGAAAACCTGAAAGCACTGGATGACCACTTCGTAAAACTAGTATGGGACTCCTCAACAGCGCTTATCCAAGGCCCAGCATCCGGAAACCGAAGCCACGACCCTCGGTCTCGAGCGTGAACGCCTGACCTGCAGACTACTCAGCCGTGAAACAATGGCAAACATATTACATCTAATTTAATTTAATTTAATTACGTATGATGATTAAGAGAATACAAAGATTTACATATGGTATGACGATATATAACTTACTACTTATCTGAAGCCTAGGAAAATAAACATCTGTAGTTTACTGTTGTTTTTTAGCCATTCAATTTAGTGATGGTGAAACTAAAGTATCGAAACGAACCAACCAGATTTCAGGTAGCGCCTCTTGAATTCCTGGCTACATAGAGTCTTTGTATTATTGCTGTCAGTTTGTGATGAAAAGAGTAACACTAATTTCTTATTCTAACTCTAAAATCTTAAGGCTTAACCTTGAGAACTAACACTGATTTCCCTATTCTGTTGGGTCGGCTTCCGGAGAACTTCAACGGAGCCTCCAGAGGCCCAAAAAGGAGCCAAAGGGTCCTAGCCAATCAGAGTATGATGGAACGTTCGAGAATTCCAGCGTGGCGTGCTACCATTGGTTGGTAGCATAATATGACGTTAACGGATTGGCTGAAATATGATGTTGATTTAACAGACGCCAACATCTATAAATACCCTTGATTTTCTGTACTAGAATGAACCTTGGGATAAAGTACTTTCCCTCATACTTGTGTCTTCTCTCTGGTGTTCAAGTCGCTGTGTAGTTCTAGACTGCGGGTTACCGGAATAGCTTAGGATCGAGCATAGCGTTCAATTGACAAGACTTATCATACTCCCAGTTGGGTAAGTGGTTGATCATTTTTGAAACCACCCAAAGTTATCCCAGTACTTTAGTTCCATACAACTACATACTACATAATCCGAAGTAAATATCGTCAAAGAAATGTAAAAACCAACTTATCAACTTAGTAGTACTGTATAAATTTCAAAATTTACGAAACCCAATCATCAACAAATTGTTTTCGACAATCAAAAAACGAACCTCTTTTCGAATTTTACGAGATCCCCCATGACTACTTGGCCCACGACTTGAACGTTCATGTGAACCAGTAAAGGATGAACCAGGGCGTCTTTTCTTACCGCTAACATTTGGCATAGTTGAGTCAAATGCTGACGGAGAAGGCGATCTACGACGTTTCTTTTTACTTCCGCTATCCGTATGAGAAGTTGGTGTAAAGGATCCAGTATAATGTGAAGAATTGTTAGTAACAGCTGTCGCTGATGAATTTGTAGTCATGAATTCTTCAGCTTGAAAATAAAGCGAAATAAAACTTTAATAAAATACGAATGCACTTCATACGATGGACTACACACTGAGGATGGCTAAATATAGCTATCGATGCATGGAAACTTTCATAAGTGCTCACAAACCCGAATAAAATATTAATAGTATAGTGGAAGGAATTTATGAGCAACGACTAAAAAAAAACATGCCATAGTTAAGAGCAATTTAATTTAGTGCATAAACCTTTTATTAAAAACCAATATTTTTGACTGAATATTGTCTTGAAATACACACAAATTCAATTAGTTCTGGCATATCAGGTGAAATGAATAACTCAAGTGTTAATACTTGTAGCTGACTGACTGACTTGTTAAATCCATTAAAAATCAATAATTCACCCTAAAATTATTGGAGATGTAGAAAAACATCTTGTTCTGCATAAGAATTACAAGCTGTTAGTAGAATATTAAGTTATTAAACAACTGTTTTTAGCATTTCATTTTATATATTCTAACTCTCTTTGTAAAGTGTTACAGTCAGCTAGTCATTAACAATATGGAGTCTGGGTACAGATATGCGCTGACACACACTGCAACATCATATTAGCACAATTAAATGAAATTGACAAGACGAACTATAAAAGAGATTAGAATAGTGTTGTAGAAATAAGAATGAGAAAAACTAGCCATTGAAAATATATTTTTAAAAAACTGAATGCAAAGGTATGTACAAAAAAATACTGGGATCCCAGATCTGAAGAAGAATAAAAAAATGAATGCATTTACACCTTTATGTTCGATTTTGAGTCACATCATCCAAAGTCTTCAACCACTAATCACAGTTATCTTGCAGACCCAAACCAGGTAGTCTGCTTTTACCTACGTGGCTTGAACCAACAGTTAATGACTTCATGAACTGATGACATACTTCGGTTTTGACACTCGTAACTTTCTTCCAACGTATCCCCATACCAGTAAATATAGCCAGTCAAGGTAGGTGGTAGTTAGTAAATGTAATGAATGTTCTAACCACCTCAATCTGTTAAGATTCATAGCTTTATCAACTGACTTGTCACATTTGTCTAGTACTGTAGCGGGCTGGTGGCCACATTGCAACACGATCGACAGCATTCGATCTGCACTAATAAGGACTAGACAAGCATGACATAGACATTGATCACCACCCAGTGATCAATCAATTGTGATTACATGTCAGTGCTACAGGAGGTCGGTCGCGGCACGGATAGCTCAGTGGTAACGTCTCTGACTGTGAAGCTGGGTGACACGTGATCGAATCGGTCAGGCAGCACCAGTTCCCTCAACATTACAGGTACACCTTGCTGACGAGTGCCAAGTAGCACGAAACCCGTGTCCATGCTTTCCTGTTCACTACCTCCAACCACCATCTAATCTCAACATAGTGCACGCAATGTCGAGTCACCTAGACTGGTGGCCACATTGCAACTCGATCGATAGCATTCGATCTGCACAAAGAAGCACTTGACACACATGACATCGATCACCACCACCAAGTGATCAATCAATTGTGATTACATGTCAGTGCTACAGGAGGTCGGTCGCGGCCCGGATAGCTCAGTGGTAACGTCTCTGACTGTGAAGCTGGGTGACACGTGATGAATCGGTCAGGCAGCACCAGTTCCCTCAACATTACAGGTACACCTTGCTGACGAGTGCCAAGTAGCACGAAACCCGGGTCCAGGGTTTCCTGTTGACTACCTCCAACCACCATCTAAATCTCAATACATAGTGCCCGCAGTGTCGAGTCACCTAGACTGGTGGCCACATTGCAACACGATCGACAGCATTCGATCTGCACTAATAAGGACTAGACAAGCATGACATGACATCGATCACCACCAAGTGATCAATCAATTGTGATTACATGTCAGTGCTACAGGAGGTCGGTCGCGGCACGAATAGCTCAGTGGTAACGTCTCTGACTGTGAAGCTGGGTGACACGTGATGAATCGGTCAGGCAGCTCCAGTTCCCTCAACATTACAGGTACACCTTGCTGACGAGTGCCAAGTAGCACGAAACCCGGGTCCAGGGTTTCCTGTTGACTACCTCCAACCACCATCTAAATCTCAATACATAGTGCCCGCAGTGTCGAGTCACCTAGACTGGTGGCCACATTGCAACACGATCGACAGCATTCGATCTGCACTAATAAGGACTAGACAAGCATGACATAGACATTGATCACCACCAAGTGATCAATCAATTGTGATTACATGTCAGTGCTACAGGAGGTCGGTCGCGGCCCGGATAGCTCAGTGGTAACGTCTCTGACTGTGAAGCTGGGTGACACGTGATGAATCGGTCAGGCAGCTCCAGTTCCCTCAACATTACAGGTACACCTTGCTGACGAGTGCCAAGTAGCACGAAACCCGTGTCCAGGGATTCCTGTTGACTACCTCCAACCACCATCCAAATCTCAATACATTGTGCCCGCAGTGTCGAGTCACCTAGACTGGTGGCCACATTGCAACATGATCGATAGCATTGGATCTGCACTAATAAGGACTAGACAAGCATGACATGACATCGATCACCACCAAGTGATCAATCAATTGTGATTACATGTCAGTGCTACAGGAGGTCGGTCGCGGCACGGATAGCTCAGTGGTAACGTCTCTGACTGTGAAGCTGGGTGACACGTGATGAATCGGTCAGGCAGCTCCAGTTCCCTCAACATTACAGGTACACCTTGCTGACGAGTGCCAAGTAGCACGAAACCCGTGTCCAGGCTTTCCTGTTCACTACCTCCAACCACCATCTAATCTCAACATAGTGCACGCAGTGTCGAGTCACCTAGACTGGTGGCCACATTGCAACACGATCGACAGCATTCGATCTGCACTAATAAGGACTAGACAAGCATGACATCGATCACCACCACCAAGTGATCAATCAATTGTGATTACATGTCAGTGCTACAGGAGGTCGGTCGCGGCACGGATAGCTCAGTGGTAACGTCTCTGACTGTGAAGCTGGGTGACACGGGATCGAATCGTTCAGGCAGCTCCAGTTCCCTCAACATTACAGGTACACCTTGCTGACGAGTGCCAAGTAGCACGAAACCCGTGTCCAGGCTTTCCTGTTCACTACCTCCAACCACCATCTAATCTCAACATAGTGCACGCAATGTCGAGTCACCTAGACTGGTGGCCACATTGCAACTCGATCGATAGCATTCGATCTGCACTAAGAAGCACTTGACACACATGACATCGATCACCACCACCAAGTGATCAATCAATTGTGATTACATGTCAGTGCTACAGGAGGTCGGTCGCGGCCCGGATAGCTCAGTGGTAACGTCTCTGACTGTGAAGCTGGGTGACACGTGATGAATCGGTCAGGCAGCTCCAGTTCCCTCAACATTACAGGTACACCTTGCTGACGAGTGCCAAGTAGCACGAAACCCGTGTCCAGGCTTTCCTGTTCACTACCTCCAACCACCATCTAATCTCAACATTAGTGCACGCAATGTCGAGTCACCTAGACTGGTGGCCACATTGCAACTCGATCGATAGCATTCGATCTGCACTAAGAAGCACTAGACACACATCACATGACATCGACCACCACCAAGTGATCAATCAATTGTGATTACATGTCAGTGCTACAGGAGGTCGGTCGCGGCCCGGATAGCTCAGTGGTAACGTCTCTGACTGTGAAGCTGGGTGACACGGGATCGAATCGGTCAGGCAGCACCAGTTCCCTCAACATTACAGGTACACCTTGCTGACGAGTGCCAAGTAGCACGAAACCCGTGTCCAGGCTTTCCTGTTCACTACCTCCAACCACCATCTAATCTCAACATAGTGCACGCAATGTCGAGTCACCTAGACTGGTGGCCACATTGCAACTCGATCGATAGCATTCGATCTGCACTAAGAAGCACTTGACACACATGACATCGATCACCACCAAGTGATCAATCAATTGTGATTACATGTCAGTGCTACAGGAGGTCGGTCGCGGCACGGATAGCTCAGTGGTAACGTCTCTGACTGTGAAGCTGGGTGACACGTGATGAATCGGTCAGGCAGCTCCAGTTCCCTCAACATTACAGGTACACCTTGCTGACGAGTGCCAAGTAGCACGAAACCCGGGTCCAGGGTTTCCTGTTGACTACCTCCAACCACCATCTAAATCTCAATACATAGTGCCCGCAGTGTCGAGTCACCTAGACTGGTGGCCACATTGCAACACGATCGACAGCATTCGATCTGCACTAATAAGGACTAGACAAGCATGACATAGACATTGATCACCACCCAGTGATCAATCAATTGTGATTACATGTCAGTGCTACAGGAGGATAGTCACGGCTCGGATAGCTCAGTGGTAACGTCTCTGACTGTGAAGCTGGGTGACACGAGATCGAATCCGCCAGGGAGCACCAGTTCCCTCAAGATTACAGGTACACCTTGCTGACGAGTGCCAAATAGCACGAAACCCGGGTCCAGGGTTTCCTGTTGACTACCTCCAACCACCATCTAAATCTCAACTGTAGCGGGCGCTACTCACAGGATTGTTTGCAAGTAATGTATAGAGGAGCATGACTTTAAAGTTGTTACAATTGTCAGACGGAGTGAACAGTTTCAGTGCATCGAAAGCACGAAGTTGGGGAAATACTTAGAGACCAAATGAAAAGACAGTTCAGACGGCAGAAGACACCGAAGGATACAAATGGATGATTGAAAGCTATATATGTGTATTATGTAAATACTTTGTAACTTCTTGCAATAAACATACATATCTTCTGCCTACTGTCATATTTTGACAATACTATACGACTAATCTCAACATTGCTTACTGGGTGATCCCAAAAAACGCGGACAATACTTCGAAGATATCTATTATCAAAAGCCTGGAGACTACGCACGTCTTATACTTCAAAAGACCATGATTCACAGCCGTAATGTTATACAAAAAGAACTTCTAAACACTATATAGGCTATTTAATTGGCAGATAGACACTTTGCTTATGCTACAAGTGACACGCCCCCAAATGCCCTGGTACGACCGAGAGTGGGGAGAGTCCGCTCTCCCTCTCCAAATGCTCTCACATGGCCACGCATATATAGCCTCTGACAGGGAAGTCCTACTGATTGCTTTCTCGTGACGTATCCTGAAGGCACAAATGGCGTGTGAACCAATCGTTGATCACCGGCTTCCATGGGAATGCATCTCCTTACGATGCTTCACTGCCTTGTGGATCAGACCTTCAGGTCGAAGGCTCCGGGTGTGGATTTCTAAGAAAACCACCTGCTTCGGTTTATGCACCCGGTGAGACACAGTCCTCACATATATCAAATGAGATCTGTGTGGCGCATATGTATTTGGTGCATCCTTGTACCAATATCTATATGTTCAAATAAAATGAAAACAAGTGACACAAGTCGGTAAAAGTCAATCGACCTTTTTGAATTCACGTGGAGATATCCCCAAATACCAGCCTACCAAGGCTGATCAGACCTTCAGGATAATTTTTATTTATTTAAACACATAAATATTAGTACAAGGAGGCACCAAGTATATATGCTCCGCACTTCATCATTTGGCTTGCACGAGAGCTGTGATAATCCCCGGGTCCCCAAACTGGAGCAGGTGGTTTCCTTAGGAGGCCACACCTGGAGTCTTCGACCTGAAGGTTTGATCAACAAGGCAGTGGAGCATCGTGAGGAGATGCATTCACATGGTAGCCGGTGACCAACGATTGGTTCATACGCCATTTGTTCCCGCAGGATACTGAAGCCCATGTGCACCATCAGTTTGGAATCCAGTTAAAGCGCCGGGCATTCGCTTTTCGTTCTCTCATTTTTGTAAACAACACCCACGCCACGAGAATGCGGTGAGTAGGACTTCCCTGGCAGAGGCTATATACGCGTGGCCATGTGAGAGCATTTGGAGAGGGAGAGCAGACTTTCACCACTCTCGGCCGTACCAGGGCATTTGGGGGCTAGCATTATGGAAATTCTTTGGGATTCAATGAACAAATTTTCGTTTGTCAAAATCAACGAGTAGAATGCTTATCAACAAATGAACGGAATGATATGATGTAGCTGATAGATGACTGCGAATGAGAACGAATTATGGATGCAGGCCCCCAAATAATTCAAAATCAAAGACAGGATCATCAGTAAGAAGAATAGCTTTCTTTTGTGACAAAGTGACATGGTTATATACAAAAAGACAATTCAAGATAAACATGGCAAAATGTCGTAAACGACTAGAAAAGACCATTTTATAGGTTAATCACTCCCCAGTCAATTAGGACCTAATTGTTAGGTCTAATTCGTGTCAGTATGTGAATTTTGCTAAAAATCTAAGATAAAACTGAAAAAGAAATGGTAAAGCTGAACTAGAAGGGTGAGGTTTAAAATAATTGAGTGACATATGAAAACTTAACACATTCAGCTAACCAGAGTACAGCGAATACGAGTGACCAATTTATAATGCTAGGACTAGGAATTGGGTTTAGTATTATTATTATTATTATTATTATTATTATTATTATTATTATTATTATTATTATTATTATTATTATTATTATTATTATTAATGGCTTTATTCAATATTATGGTCAGTATTATGGTCTAGAACTAAGATTTAGGGTTAGGATCAAGAGGTAGTGCTAGTGATTCAAGGTTGAGATTATGACGAAGAGTTAAGGATTTAGGAGTAGAATTAGGATGTAGAGTTAACGGTTTAAGCTTTCTATGGACATGCTGGTAATTGAGATTATGTATTTTTCTGTAAGAAATGTTTGGTCAAAAAAACCTAATATTCGAATCATACTCGTTTCAAATTGATGTTCAGACAAATAATGCCATTCAATGACTATCTTAAGTTCACTTTTAGTTTTGTCTTAACAACACTGCTTACAACAAGATGTGGAAATCACATGTTTATACTGACTTCATTATGATAGAGGCGTACAAAAAAGACGAAAATATCCAAATCATTCAGAATTTATTAAAAGTGACTCTTTCCACAATCATGAATGCAACTGTTTTTCCGACAACACATTGTCTTTTAGAAGGATGAAAATATGTATGAGGAAAATTGATTTAGAAGTTCGTTAAAATGATTATGACAAAATAAAAATGATCTATCATCAACAACTTACGTGAGTATGTTGGTCTTGGTTTCACAGAAGACGTTGGCACTAAAAAATCTTCTTCAACCATCCATTCATACATTTCGTCTGAATACAGAAGCCAACGAGCATCTACATCCCATTGATTTTCATTTTCGAGATATGAGGTTTCAGTATCACTGGACCATTCAGATTGCAGACCTTTAGTCCCAAGGAAATAAACAAGTTATATATGTTATTTTGAAAGGGAACTTTTTAAAGGTTCAGTACATAAGGAATTAAGCGGTAATAAAGTTGTTTTTATGTTCCACTACGAATAACAGATGGAGGAAAAAAACTTGGTGATATTCTAAGGCCACACCAATAGAAATATATAATTATGGGGTGAACTTAAGATGTAACAGAGCGAATAAAAGTATTAATTCAGAAAGGATTCTTAGGAACGGAAATGTGTTGTTTTATCTTTGGAATACTGTGTCTAACTACTGAAGGGATAGGCATATGCAAAGTTTATAGCGTTTCATAATCTTACCTGTATACCATGTAGTATATGAAGCGGGTGAGTATAACCAGTGCAAAAGTACTCCACGACCTTCATGGAACAAAACTCGGAAACGTTGAACCAGAAAGTCATCTCGACTATCACCAGGCCAATTCAGGGGAGGTTGATGTAGAATATGTGTAGCCTCAGAAGGTGACTCGACAACAGAGATATTTAATCGTTTTGCAGATTCCCTTAGTTTTGAATTCAAGGTCTGTTTTTGAAAAAGTGAAATGATAGTTTCAAAAAACAAAAATATCCCTCAAGGTAAGTGGAAAAAATTTGCAACAATTTGATATGAGTTTGATATTGAAAATATTAATACAATGTTTTAGGTAAGTAGTCCTCAAGAATCAAGATCTTGTTCAAAACCTGATTTGATCACTTTCGTCTGGAAAGCTAAATAACTTCCTCTGCTTTTTATTAAAGTGTCCTATACTATTTTCTAGATTGCCGATTAGGATCTTCCGCAGCAAGCATAACACATTTCTTATTTAGCAACTGCCTTTTAGCTTCTTTTCACTAAAACGGGAAAATGAAGACATGTTCGACACTGAATATTTAGGAACTGAGGTTCGTTTAAAAAAAATTTCAGAAACTTAAGATTTATCAGGTTACATGAAGCAAGTTTTAAAACAGCGAGACAAATGGTTTATGACTTTGTACTAAAAAGCGACTGTCACTACTACACAGCTTTCGGAAATAATTTGACAAAATAATCGTTTTCATTAATTTATATCTAATGGATATTTGACCCGAAATAAATTACAAACCCCTACGGCTGGAAGCTATAATAAAGCTTTCTTAAGTTGTTGATAGCTAATAATACTATATATCAATAAAAATTTATTTTGCTTTGTGATGAGACTACAAATGACACAATAAAGAGACTTGGTAGTGATTCCATGAATTTATATGACTTCCAATCGTTAACACTAACAGATTAGTGAGGGACTAATAGAACATAGCGATATATGCACTACGACTTTCCGGGTATAACTTTAAGGTTATGAGAGATAATTCATCGTTATTGTTAACGTTATAGTATTCCTTAGAGTTCTCAACTTGCCTCTAAAATCAGCTGAACTGGACGATAGTAATGGACAGACGAAAGTATACGACTGGCGCTTTTGTTGTGTCTACCTGGATAATTCTGTAGTATAGGTCAAATACCCATTGACTCGCTGTTTTCCAAAACAAAGATCTTAGTTTGGTAGTCGTACCGGGTGTAATAAGCAAGCACCACACTAAAATAAACTTAATTTGACTGACAATTAATAACTGAATATTCAATAAAAGTTGAGTGAACTTATAAGTTAACTACGTAAATTAAGTTGGTTTGACATATGGATTGTATAATAAATGTTGACATGGTCCGTTGACAAATCCCAGACGGCTATAATTGTTTCCAGTCTTTTGGTCGACAAGCCGTCCATTCTGTGAATTCCGTTCAATAGCAGATGAAGGTGCTTCGGGCATGACTCAAAGAAATGGGGTAACTAATATTGAATCTATTTGAACGACTAGAAACAACCTGAAGAACTTAGAATATACGAATGATGTTGTCTTGCTAAAAATACTGACGAAATGATTTGTCTATCAATCGAGAAAATATCTGGCATTTACTTTATGTTCATGAAAGTGGATCAGTAAGACATCTAAGACAGATGACTAAACTCTGTAAGGTTAGTTCTCGGTAAAAACCCCCAGGATAAGGACATAACACTGTGTATTAAGTGTTCGTGATCACAAAATATTCCACAACGACTGGATAACCATTGACAGAACGAGTGGAGCCTAATGACAAAGAAAAGATGTCTGCAGTGTTTTGTATCATTTAATAGTTGAAGGCCAATAATTTGATAGAAATAATCCAGTACAAAAACATTGTGAGTTTTAAACGTAGGAGTTGGCGGATACAAACCGTATTATAATGTTAGGATAATGTGAATTAGTGGGTTCTACTACATTATATTTGACATTTAAAGGTAAATAACATAACGCTAGATCGTACCGTCTTCAGAATTACTCGAATCTGGGAAGAAAACCAAGTGATTGTATGTTTAAATCCAAGTAAATTAAATTTTGTCCAAATTAACTTGGAGTAGAAGTGATGAGACTATAATTACGAACAACCTTTGAGAGATGCTAAGCTGAACTTGAGAAAATTGACCTACTTGATATGGTTATGTTAGTGTGGTGACTTGGGATTTAGGGTTGGAAGTTGAGGTTGAGAATCAAAGTCGGATCTTCTTACCAAGAACTGACTAGCCATATGAATGGGTATATTTCGCGCTGAAATCCACGACTTACTATCTTAAATATGGTTTGTTCGTCCGCAAATTATAGTCTCATCACAGAAGCTTTGCACTAACTTAAGCATTCAAAGCATTTTAGGTACGAATGTTTATTGTCTGCTTTTATGTACTATGTTGTGACGAATAGTTTAGATAATGGCATAAGTAATCACTGCTGTTTCCAGCAACTGGTGATTTTCACAAACTGACAGGAAAAATCAAACTTAAGGCGTTTATGTGTAAAAAAAACAACACTCAAACTCCTTTGCAACAATAGGTTATAGTGATTCGCTAGATTCGGAACAGGTGAAGGTTTCTTATGAAATATTATTCGTGAGTAAAGATTGCAAATTTCAGAGATGTACCGTGTGTATGACGTGAAGTTTTAACACTTCCACACATCTCAGTAACACAAAGCACCTGGATAAAAGTAAGTATTACTAATAAACAAGTAGCTACAAAAGAACAGCTCAACCTACCTTTTCAATCAACGGGGAAATGTAAACAACTGGTTTCTCCATGCACTTGTAGGTTAGTAGTTCACGTTCGATGACTGAGAACATTTCCAGATGTTTTTCGGTTCTGGATGATGAAGTAAGGTCTATTTTTTTCCAATTATTCTCGTGACGGAACTTTAGACACGTTAGGAATATGTGACATAAACCACCACCAGGTTTGAAATCCATGAAACATTTGAAAGGTATTTTCATAAAAGTTCTCGACTTTAAAAAATTAAATCAGAGGGCTGATGAAATGACTTACAGTACTTGTGAAATTGGTTTCCTGGAACTGTAACAATTGAAAACACAGAGTAGCTAGACTCTTATTCGTAGGAGGCTCAGTTTGTGTATACTTTTTGTGATTTCTTGTCAACCAGATTCTCACTGGGTCAAAAGTAGCAATAATTTCTGGATTTTCATAAAAGCGAGTAGACGGATTGCCGTCTTTAGCCCGAGTTAGGCCCATTTTGGTTACACAAAGCTTAACTTCAAATTCTGCGCGCCAAACACTAGCTCAATTTCAGCTCATTAGGAGTTGGATGCCTCAATATTTAATGAAAGCTCACGGTCTTAAATTGTTGCTGGTAGAACAAAGGTGGGTTTCAGTTGCTCTCAATAGTAAACTGGAATTTAAATAAATAATCTTGCAAAGGAAATAACTGTTGTAAGATACTATGCTATATCTTCGCGAAAATATCACTCAATCGCTTAAAGTTACTTGAATCAGCATAACATTCATCACATGCCAATGCTAGCTTACTCTTACAGGTTAAAAGTTGTGCACACAGCATAACCGACCACACGGTTAGTAATACTAATAAACTCCACTAAGGGTTTACTATTTGACGTAACGACTTATTAAAAATCAACTAATTTTTTTCGCTCCTTCGTCTTGGAGTTATAAAAAACCTTAGATCTGTGGCAAAATCAAGTATGATGGTACATAAGCTCAGTTCAAGCCCAAGTAACAAGAAGCATGATAAAATAGGAAGAAACAAATCAATATGAAGTAATTAGATTCACAACAACATCTAAAATCAAAGAAGAAAAAGGTAAAGGTGTCTCTTGGTACATTGAATGTAGCACTAATAGATGGAATTATATATTGCCCACCATGTTCAACCACTAGAAAAATGTTTCAACAGTGGAAGATAAGTGTGAGAAGAGAAAGATAAAACTATAAACTTCATGCGACAGGTTTGGAACGTATCAAGCGAAGAAATTTCTTTCCGAAAGTTTCAGTGACTCTGAGATCAAAAGTAGAGCTTTCTAACAAACCTTTCGTTTCTTCTCAGACCTTTTGAATAGGCCAAAAAGTCAAGATGTAGTTTTCGCTTGGTGGCAAAATGCAAATCATTAAAAATACCAGGAGCGGTAGCAGTTGTGATTGAACTATAACTTTGAGTACAAGGGGAACATCCAATCTCCTAATTTCAGGGAAAATTTGACTAGGTTCGGGGAAACCGCCATAGTAAACTTTGGTGAAGGTTTGGGGATATGGCACAAAACCCCCAAAATCTCCCTTGAATTTTATGTCTTTCCCAAAAATTTTCACCGTAATCTTGTTACAGTTTCTGTAAATTAGTTTTAACGCAATACTTCTCATAAGTTTCTGCAGAAATCATGGAAAAACCAGGCGACGATACATACGTTCAGTGTTTACTGCAATGTTCCATTATTTGTAGTCAATTACGAAGTACTAAATAAATTTAATGTTAATCAATCTATCGCTGCAATTAAAAGACCAATTCGTGACACATAGAAATGTTTATTACGGTCAATAAAATTACAAATAACTGATTTATGTAGGGCCTTTTCATTGCTTTGTAACAGAAGCAGGTTACATAGACGTTAAACTGTCATTCACAATGTTCTACTAAGTAAAAAGAATATTCTTTAGTTTATAAGCAGATTTCAAAATATGTAAAACGTACATGACGTACCAACGGTATAACAATGTTGTTAACAATGCGGACAAAAAGCTTACAGTTACATCTGTTAAAACTTGGGAAGCCGGCTGAAAGCAAGATGGAAAACAAATAATTTTTTGCCGACAATAAAAAAGTTGTTCCACCATAAATATTGATCACAAAATAATATTAAAACTGCATTGTGTATTATATCAAACATGTAAAGTGCTTTAAGTTCAACCTTTCTTTTGATTGCCATCCACGCTTATGTACTTTATCTCATGCGTCATGCAAGAAAGCCTGGCTTGCAACATCCATGGAGTGTACTACTTTTTTCGGGACAGGTTGCACTTCGGAATCGGGAACACGGAACACTTGCATATATATTATTACTGTAGTGTGGACTTTGAACCGCTCGGTGCAAATTGTACTTACTAATACCTAATTTACTTTTGGTTCTGTGTAAAGTGTAAGTGTTCGCCAGATCCGGCAACAACAGGTAATTTAAACAGGCTTTTGCTGATATACGAGGGTCAACACATATGAGCTCGTACAATCTGGCCACCTAAAATTTGTCCAGACACCTGTTACAACTTACGAACTGATCATGGAACTTTAACTCATCTAAAGCAACTTCAAAAGAACGCAACTCTTCTTGTGTTCTTAATGGGAAAGCAATAGCTGAATTGTCAACTTGGTCGGTACGCCTATCCATTACACCCATAGATGAGTGTTCACTAAGTGTGATCAGTATATCACTCTTGCTACACAGTTCAGTGACTGCTTTCAGAATCATTTTCAGCATTTTACTGTCATCATTGCACAACCTTGTCTTATCATGTTTACATGAAATTCAACTTACGGTTTATTAACTTCCATTGACGTACATGGAAGTGGTGGTGAGAAAACCTCTGTTTTTGATGAACTACTTTATGAGCATTGATTAAATAGGTACATACTTTGTTATAGGTGAGAATCTTCCTGTCAAAATGTTGACAACTGGAAAGTCAACCGGGGAAAATCCAGCTTCAATCTCATCAACCTCTAGTTCTTCAGAGGTGCATAAATATTCTTTGAGTTTTCGTTTAGCAGCCCTAACGCAAAAGTGATTTAGTAAGTTGAACAATTTGACTTTTCGGCTTTTCCGTTTCACACGGTAGCGTTTCATCATCTGTTGTAATTTTCTTATTGTAACTGAGTACTCTGGTTAAACAGATTTTCATTTCCTCGGCTAAATCGTAGTCATCTAAAAAATGAATTTAAAGTTATTACAACTTACCACAGCGATGCAGTACCATGCACTTCCTCAAAGTGAAGCGACTATCACAGTCGACACTATCAATAATATCCTTAGCAGTCACATCATCACGATAAATAAAATGATCGTTGTTCAGCAGCCTTTTTTTAGAGATGCACAGAACTCGCTTCTTCTCTTTATGATTAACCAATATGTATTTTCCTGATTGATGCTGTAAATCAATGCCGAGGCGTTAAAAATTGAAAATTTATTACATTCATGATAATTCATTAAAACATCCTGATGAACGAGGCCGAAGCACTAACCAACAGACACTTACTACATAAAGTACTATATTTGCGACAGCCATTGAGAAATTATGTCACATTTTATATTGGATTGTATGCAAAAGGGGAATAATATATGATTTTGCGTCCGTATGCAAATGCAGTTGCACAGTATATCTGTCAGTGTAATCCGCTTACATTCGTGGCTTAAGGTAGAAAACTTGAATGTGCCTATAGTACTGGAGAGAAATGAGTCAGCAAAAAAATCCAGCGGGTTATGGAATGCCCCGAACTTAATTCTGCCCCCATCAGTAATTTGTGTTATCAACCCCAGTTTCCCGTTGGCTATGGCTACGTTGTCAGGTCCGGTGGTTGTTAGCTTTGAGTTTCTGCAAGTGATGATCTCCTTGGTTGAATCATAACTTACATCAGGCTCAGTCAGATTGTCAGCCATATCCTGATTCAGTATACTTTGAAAATAAACTTATTCGGCATATCGCCGTGTAGCTCGTTTAGCCGCAGCAAATTTTCAGTGTACTGAACACCTAATTTTACTCATGTACGATTCAAAAGGAAAGACAGAGAACGACTCTTAACTTCCATGTTCTATAACGTACTCTGCTTATATTCACAATATAAATTCAGTGATTGCTACCGTAAAGGTTTTCGTAACTTAATAAGATGTTGTTCACATAAACCCGAACACTGTCCGCGAATGTGGTGTGCAACTTAGGGTGTGATAATAAATATATTGACAAGGACAGGCCCTTGAAGTTTCTGTGTGTTGATGGTGGTAACCTCGCATGAAGAACTACAGGGGCTAAGTTTAATAAGAACAACCGACATTCAATTGCTTTTCATACAGAAACTTCATGTAGTGAACCACATTGCCCTGGAAAGTCGCATGTAGTGTGCTGTCTGCATAAGTCTAGCGCCACATTTATTGATGCGAAAATTGATAGATCCTTCCATAAGGAAATAATATTTTTAGTGATACCTAAGTATATCATATGCACCGGTTCAGATGGAAAACATTTTATCATATCCAGTGGCAAATTTTCAAAAGAACTTCCACCACGATGATGGATAGATTGAGACCTACTACGAAAAGTGACATCACTTCTCAATTCGTGTTCAACACTGGCAAAAGTCATTTGATCACCCATTCGTGTCCCTAAAACATAACCGTTTTGTTTACAGTCAGCGGTACCATTGTGCCCAACAACATACATGACGTAACTGCAGTTTCACAAATAACAGCGACTAATTTAACTATTAAATGTACCTGACACTTATCAACAAAATACCTTCTGTCAGCAACTCTTGTAACTCTGTTATAAGTGCTGCGGACATGTCGTTGAAATCAAATGGTTTCACTTCACCACCATAGATCTCAACTATAAATACATTACTAGCTAATTTACCTGTTATGCGGCCTAGGGTCAGCCACAGCTGTTGGTTAGAGCTTTTGAACAAGCTTAGACCATCGTAGTTCAACTGCAGCTTAAATTCTGTGAAACGGATTTGACGTAGCTAATTTTCGGAAATCCTCAGCACACTTGATTTTAATCCCAAATGGTAGTATATTCCCGTTTCCAGAATTTTAGGCTCCACGTCGTTGCATCGACGTATAACACTTCTGACGAATGTGGGGAGTTCAGGAATGCGCACCCGAAAAAGGTCCAGAACAAAACAAAACCTTAAATTCGGTAGACTATTCGTGAACAAAAGTAATATCTTATTAAAATTATTATTTCTTAATTGTAATTTAATATCTTAAGGCTTAATAATGCTATGGTGATGAAATGGTTTTCTGGATTAATGCGCAACACAGATTTTAGGGATTTCCCCAAAATTAACCCAAAGTTGGAAGTTTGGGATATTCAGTAACTTTATTACTTTGCTTACAACCATGTCCAGTATACCAATAGTCACACTAGATATCAGGCGAACTATTTTAATTAATGTTCATTTGGTCTACCTATTTATATTTTCAAAACTAAAACTTGCCTCATCAAAATACTATAGTTGTTATTACCACTACTAACATATCACTGTATCGTTGGTATTAGCGTCGTAAGCACATGAAGAATCTA